GAACTCGGTATTTACCCAATGTGCTCACAAAGCAGCAACTGCAACCGACGCCATCACGTGAGAGCTCCTCACCTCGGTCGGCTGGTAAGTCGCCCCTCCTCGCCTCCACGCTCACGCGAGACTGCTTTCCCACAACGTGACACAATGCCACGCGCTCACCCACTGATTTTTCACCCCTCATCCCCCCACCAGCAGCAGACGCAAATCCACCATCCTCTCCACCTACCCCAACACGAAATAAGCAGAGCAAAAGAAGCCAGCCTCTTCCCCTCTCACTTGACTGGAGCTCCGCCTCCTTGCCTGGCGGAAGTTGAGGGGCTGGCCCAGCCCGCGGGCGGTGTCGTGCTGAGGGAACTGGCATTTCCTGACTGTGAGGGATATGCGAGTTCTGGGGCCGTCTAAGAGTTCTTGTCCTGGGAGAAGCTGCACTGCCTATAGCCCTGAAGGGCCACTGGGCGGCATAGCCAGCACACCTAGCAGTGTGGGCTTAAAGAGAAGGAAAGTATTCAAAATCATGACTCAGGCCCTCCAGCAGGCTGAGCTGGGAGCTGTTTTATTAAGTTTTGCTTCTGATTTCAAATTTACTTTTATTTATTTCCCTATGGGTTTTTGGCAGAATTTGGGCATGTGAGTATTTATACAATCATAGAATCATCTAGACAACTTATTAGTGGAATAGGTATTTTGAGAATGATTTTATAATCACCTGGTAGTGTTCTTAAAACCATATATAAGTGGTATAGTACAATTGCTAGGACTTGTTCTTTAAGAGGTTAAAAGCTGTTATAGTTTATATTAGTTCTCTGAAAGGGTGGTCAGGCACTGGAATGGGCTGCCCAGGGAGGTGGTGGAGTCACTGACCCTGGAGGTGTTCAAGGAACGTTTGGATGTTGTGTTGAGGGATATGGTTTAGCGAGAACCATTGGTGATAGGTGGATGGTTGGACTGGATGATCTTATAGGTCTTTTCCAACCTTAGTGATTCTGTGATTCTGTGATTCTGTGAACTGGCTGCAGGATCGAGTCCAGAGAGTGGTGGTCAATGGCTCCATGTCTGGATGGAGATTGGTGACGAGTGATGTCCCCCAGGGTATGGTGCTGGGACCGATAATCTTTAAGATCTTCATCAGTGACATTAACAGTGGGGTTGAGTGCACCCTCAGCAAGTTTGCTGATGACACTAAGCTGTGGGGTGCGGTGACACACCAGAGGGATGGGATGCCATCCAGAGGGACCTAGACAGGCTTGAGCAGTGGGCCCAGTTAAACCTCATGAGGTTCAACAAATCCAAGTACAAGGTCTTGAATCCAGGTCATGGCAATTCCCACAACCAACACAAGCTGGGGGATGTAAGGATAGAGCGCAGCCCCACCAAAAAGGACTTGGGGGAACTGG